CTCAGGGAACCAGTGAAATGGGGTGACTGGGTATTGTCTGCCAATGAAAGAAAAAAATCATTACAGAATCAGCTGTTTGTCAAATTCTGTTACAGAAATCATGGTTCAGCAAATTCACACATTCAGCCAATACGGGCTGAGAATTCGTCACATGGTTACACATCACATGAAATTAGGTCTATACCCCTCTCCCTGCTGCAGCTGATCAGCACCATGAAATCTGCTTCATTATTCTTAAACCAGAGGAGTGCTTTCATTTTGGTAAGTCACACTGCCTTTAAAGTCAAAAACACATTGAACCAAGTTTGTAACACCTTCGGTACACACAAGTATGGTGCCATCTTAGTAGTAACCAGATATATCAAGATGACCCCAGAAATTCTTTAACATATTACTGAAAAATGCGCCTCTGCCAAGACTTGAACTCAGAACAAAAGCAGCAAAAGAAAAAGGGATACACATATTGCTAAACTGAAAGTCAAACAATGCTCACCAGAATTACGTAACTCTCCCAGAATGAACTCCCCTCCACTGTGGATCTTGGCACCGGGTCTCACCGACTTGCGTATCAGTCTCAGCTGCCCATCTAGGTAGATCTTGAGGATGCCACCGTGCTCATGCCATGAGACGGCCAAATGATGCCAATGGTCGTCATTCACAGAGACGGAGGAGAAAAAGCGATACCTGAGCCATAAAGACAAAACACACGGCACAGAATGCTACATGTAAAGTCCTCTGCCTGTACTCGGTTCACCCCCCCACTAAAAATGCTGACCATTCACACGAGTAACTTCTGAACAATGGGCTGGAAAGTTGCTCAGGTACACCTTTGATTCTAATAAACTTCTTAGATGATGAAGATCGCATCTTTTACAATAGCTGTTCCTTGTCAATATTGCATTTGTCATAATGCAGTCATTACATTTGCCCTTCCCAGGATTCTGAAAAAGTTTTCTTCTTTTCTTCGTCAGAACCGGGCAGAAAAGCTCAAAGTTCTCACACAAGCTACACACGTTTTTCCAAAAAAACACCTCCCAAAACAATATTACACTGTTTGTATAAGTTAGTTAGTAAAAGCAATGCTGACCATGATGAACAGTGATGAACAAGATTAGTCAGCAAAATCCTTTGTTGTTGATTTATTTGGCATAACTTACGTCACCTAAAATAATTGTGTGAATTACGCCAGAAGTTGCAGATTTTCTATGCATTGTGCAACTTTTGTGAAATGTGCCATACTTTGTTGCACTACTTATGCAATAAAATGTGGCATGCGTGGCGTCAAGAAATTGAATGAAGTTTCATGAACAGCTGCTGCTTCCACTTTACACTGGGCTGAATATGGTCTCTTCAGGGTTTGGAGATACTCAACACTGGCTGACTTTGGGAAATGGACCAATACCTCACAGCTGCTTCCCACTCTGAGAATGTGGTTCCAAGTTGGGGAACATTGACAACATTGCCTAATTTTGGGGTTCAGTGTTGAGCTCTGGCTTTAGAGGAAATTAAGAAAGTAGACATTTCAGATATTTATCCCGGAAATCTTTGACGGGTACAAGATGTTACAATACCTGACCAGAAATGGTGAATATCGGGGTCCATTTTTTAGCTTTTCTCACTCCAAACATTCACTTGAAAATCCCACATAAAAATTTCAAACGCAAACACACAAAAACTGTTTGCTATCACAAAAATACTTTGATTTCAGTGCTGACAATTTTCAATGGTACGTAACAGTTGTCAATCATTGTTTAGTTGGTACAGGGTGGGAACTTTACAGGAAACACTGTGTTAAAAAGGACACAGTGCTTCTTTTACAGTTTGTTGAATTTTACTTTATCACGATTAACCACTTCCTGCCGGGGACTCCGGAATCTGAAATGTATGCTTTATATGCGTGGCCGGGGTCTCCGAACTCGGACAAAGGGACAGGGTCCTGTAACAAAAGACCGTACTCCGAACAAAAGACCAGGCTGCTGGGCATAACAGACATTTTTCACTCTCAAAACTGGAGATAATCCAGCCTTTTTTTGAAACAGTATACCACGGTTTGGGGCATTTAGAGCGAGTGGACTACCACCGGGGACAAAAGCGCTCCACCACCGCAGCGATGAGCTATACAAATACCGCTGCATGCTAATCTGGTCCCTATTGAAGAGAGGTCAGCAGTGCACTGTAGCAGGTTCGTGAACAAAAGAAAGTTAGACAACACCACACAATCTGGGCTCATTTTACAAGGCTGCAGGCCTGGCTGAAATACTCGGGCGTCAATGAAGGTCACGTGTCAACTTAGAGTAGTGCCTAAAGATTACTTTGTGCGGCTATAAAGATCCGTTAAATGAAATGATGAATTTTTGAAGAATTTTGAAAACGGGAAAAAATGATTATTATCCCGGCCCAGTATCATTAACATTCATAACTAACCCCAGCGCAAAGTGGTTAAGAAAGTATGGATCTGGTTACACTAAAACCTGATGTGTGATGAACCCCAATGGAGCAGTGTCAAGGAACATCACGACACTCCCTCAAAGGAGGAAGAGGGAACAGATGAGAGGAACTCACCCTTGAATGTGGACCTGCAATGCTCCAGGATTGCTGATAGCAATCAGTGTCTCGCCCAGTGTCTGTCGAGATTTCTGGGTTGTGTAGGCCAGTATGGTCCCATCAACTTTGGCCGTGCGAATCCACATCATTACAGTGAAGGCTCGCAGGTTTGTGCAGATCGCATGAGGTAAAGTGATGTACTGACTTGGATAACTGCCTCGGAACACCATGTCAAAATTGGACTGTGCCTCTGAGATGAAAAAAATGTATGACATCTGCAGTATGAGCATAACAGTGCCTCAGTTATCACTGCTGAATCACAGACTGGCCATTAATGGCAAGTTACGCTGATGGCAACATGGTGGCCCATTCAGTCGATACCAAACAGATTTCTTGCTCAAAATCATCATAAATAATCAACATTTTGATTCTTCAGTCTCATGAAAACAAGTAGAAATAATCACTTTCCACTGGTACATAATCCTACTGGTAGAAATTC